TGGAATTCAAAGGATCTTTCGTATACATTGAGTTGACTGTGTTGAAATCGAATGTGGTTTTGGGAGGGAAAAGTTTCAAATTTGGGTCGCACGTGCGCGACACGAGGGTAGGAAAATCCCAGGGGGGCGAGATTCGCTTCTAATCCATTGGAAACGGTTTCGTGGTGGTTCGCCAGAATAGAAGTCACATCATTAACGGAGAATTAAGTCTCAATCGAAGGGTGGGCTTCTACGGGGCGTAACGGTTCCTTTTCAAATAAGGCACACCCTGTACTCGTGTATATCGTCCGACCATTTATATGTAAACTCTTCCACCATAATATTCTTCCTGTAATTTGACTTCCATTTAAAAAAAGGCGACTAAGGGAAAGAATTTCGTCGGTCGATCCTTTTATCACTTCAAAGTTTTACAGCGTTTCTACAGCGCGACGATCTTGAAAGACTATACCTATGTATAAATGACGTCGATAGCCTTGGAGAGCCGCCCGATCAAAGTGAGCCTGACCCCTGGGGAGGAGGAGCAGGAGCCACCCTCTTCGGCACCTTTCTTTGCAACGGCTAAAGCTAAAGCTAAAGAAAAAGAAAGGAACTGGCCGAGTGTGTCGGAGACGTGAAACACATCGAGAAGAAAAGTCCAGCCAGCTTCAGCTTCACGTGAGGTTCAAAGCCAGAAAATTAGTTACCCCTGTTGCGTTCGGATGCCAACTAACCAAAAAAAAAATGGCCAAAAGGCTTTGTGGTCGGACGAAAAGTGTCGCGCCAGTGAAAATTCTATTTTCTCATCGACGCGAAACGACTCGACGATGCTTGAAGCGTGATTAACGCAGGCGTCGCGACGCTCGCCGGCACAGAGGACTCTTTTAATGAAGATTCGCATCGTCTCCCTTTAAAGCGCCCACACCAGGCTGCTGCTGCTGCTGCTGCTGCTGCACAGATGAGTTTACGCGAAAAGATATATATTTTTTGTTGATCCTGTCCGATCGCCAGGATATTCGCAGGACATTGGCGTCGACTGTCCTCAGGGACGCAGGTGTTTTCAGGTCGGCTGGTTCCAAGGAAACACCTGATACTCACGTCCTGAAATGCTCGGGCTGGTACCTACAGGAGGAAGGAGGTTCTCTCGGCTGACTCCGATCACCTGCCTGTTACAGGGTGCAGGCCTGGCGTAGCGATGTTCAAAGTCTCGATAGAAAGTAGAACGAAAGAATAACGGGAAAATAACCGCGGAAACGGAAGTCGGGTGGAAAATGAACTTGGCGTTCAGTTTCCGGTCTCTCTCGGTCTCTCGCTCTCCCGCTCTCCAGGTACCTGTATTGCGGCCCGTGAAGGATTTCGCTAATAAATTAGGGCACGAGCCGACTCGAGTGCTACGGATGTTTTCCGAACTGTAGAATGTTCCTTATTTCGTCCAGGTAGCCGAGAGAAATGGCGAAGCGCGAAGACGAAGGCGCCGAGCGAGTGACTTTCGAACGGATAAAGGAAGTTCTCCATTTATTTTC